CCTAATATAATCGAGAATGGTTCGGGAGAAATGGTTCTTTCCTACACCACAACAGGAGAGGACCAGACAAGAACTTGGGGCGCATGTAGAATAAGAGTTTGGAAAAACTTCCGGGGGGATCTAGTATATTTTAACACTTTAAGCAACTCCCTGCCTAATCGCCTAAATGCCGTTATTTATAATCAAGGTTATAAGACACGATTTTGATTTTACATTTCGATTTTTTTGTAAATATTGCTAATTGTGATTCGTTTTGCCTTTTCAACTAATAAGTTTTATTTACAATTCGATTTGTCAATAAATACTTCTTTCGAAAAGTTTTTTCCCTAAACTGAGATATAAATAAGCCTTGAACCGATTATTCCTGGCTCTGTGAAGTAGGCAGGCACCCTTGAAGCACAAAAATTAAATATTACGTGATTGTTTAGCGCTTCAATGTGGTTCAATCCCCAAATTAGCAACCCTTGTATTTTCGGAGATATTTCGGTTTATTGGAACCGCCTGGTTACTTCACACCCAGCAGGAACAAGGAAAGCACCCACGTTCAGTTTCAGATAAATGGTTCGTGCTTCGTTAGTGCTCCAATGTGCTTCAATCCCTTAATTAGCAACCATTGAATTTTCAGAGATATTTCGGATTTCAGAAATTTCCTGCTTACTTCACATCCAGCAGGAACAAGGAAAGCACCAACGTTCAGTTACAGATAAATGGTTACTGCTTCGTTATGGCTTCAATCTCCAAATTAGCAACCCTTGAATTTCCATAGATATTCTGGTTTTTACAACTCGCCTACTTAGTTCACACATAGTAGGAATATTAGAAGCACCAACGTTTATCAACTCTACTTCTAGAGATATTTCGACTTTTCGCTATAGCATGCTCTTTTTACAGTAAGCCGGAAATATTAAGTGTACCAATGTCCAGTATTGTAAATAAATGGTTAGTGCTTCATCATGCACCACCTCAGCTTTTAACAGCTTTTTTATTTCCAGAGTTATTTCGACTTTTTGCAATCGCCTGCTGATTTTACCCTACCAGCATCGGAACCGAGAATATGAACAGCATAAATTCTAATCTGAAATACTTATACGTATTAATGTAATATATTAAGTACTAAGTGCTTCCTAATTCTTAGGTCGGTTTACTCATCATCCGACAAAACTTACTGGAAACTATCTACAGGACAAATTTGCCAATCAATAATCCCATTGGTCGACGAATAACTGGCCGACCCATAGGATTATAGATTGCGTTTTTTTTCTGTCAGATAATATAACTGATTGTCTATCAGAAGGTGAATAAACCGGGCAATAGTTTCTCTATTGAGCAGCCGTTATATCAGTACTAAATAGGAGATAATTATGTATTCTGAACAAAACAATATTAATTTCAATCACAATTTCAATACAAATTGTAAATTAGTAAATGTGGACTAAGCTGTCCTGATGTGGATGGAACATTTCTGTGTTGTCTTTCTCGATCGTCAAAGGACTCCCACAATGCATCGAGACGTTGGCTGTAATAAACCTAATGCTCCACACCATAAAGGATAGCTAGCTGGCTCCATGAAATGTCCAACACTTCTCGCAAAGATTAAAAACAAGTGGAATATCTTCCGTTACCGAAGTACCGCAATTGTTTGTATCCAAAATCAGCCTAGAACCCACGGTATACCAAAACTTCTAAATTTTGGAATCCTTTTTCGTGTATCTGCTAAATCGATTCAAATTCCAAGACAAATAACGTCACTTTCTGCTCTTTGAAATAGTTACATTTAAGAGAAAGGCATTTATTTTTAAGAATAAATTAATAAAGTAGTCGGTAACGTTGCAGATATTCTAAATACAATTGAGTATAGTAGAGCTGTTTGAGTTAGTTGAAAAAAGAAAGGTGGCTCACTTTGAGCAGTATTGAATAATGAGGAAGTTGCATAAAATTTTATTTTGATGCAAAATGTATTCAAAGTGAAGCAAAATACTCTAGAAGTATATTTCCATATTCAAATCCTCTTTATACTGAACCACTAATAAATAATTAATTATTCAAATATTGAATATAACAAAGGGCGCGAAAACGCTCTCAAATTGGTTATGACGTCATGGAACGATAAACAAACAAAAGTGTGGTTATGATAACGTGATACGTGAGCCGTCAGAGGCTTGTGCTTACATCGAATTCTACAGATGGGTTCAGCATTCTATGTCGGTCATTGTCATTTTCCATTAAATAAACAAAGATACCCCTCATTTTTAAAAGTACCATTTACATAGAGCAAGGTAGTGGTGAAGTAGAAGTGAAGTAATAAAAGTATGCTACAATTTTACTGCTGTCGTTCACACTGAATTATTTTGGGGGTATCATTTCATGGCACGCATGCGCAGTGCGCAGTTCGTTTTTGAGCTGATATTTTCTTTATTTTTATTCAAATATTATGTGAAAGTAATGTTAATTGTGAATTGAAAACGACAAAATTTCGGAGTTCACGTCCACGATATATTACAAAATTACTGCGTTTTTCAAAATATCAACGATTATAATAATTAATAACTGTCGTGATACTACTATAATGGGTAGGTAGTTGGTATATCGACAAAATCGACGAGAAAGATTGAAGAGGAGATGGTGGGTAAGGCCGATAAACAGAAGAAGGTTTGCACAAGGAGCTTACGATAATCTGCTACAAGAGCTAAGAAATGAAGACCCTAATTATTTTTTTAACTACACACGAATGAGTCTAGAGTTATTTGACAATTTAATTGTATTGGTGACAGGGACACTTTATCCGTTAGGACAATTAGGTCTTGTCCTGCGGGCCACTAGAGGATGGAAGGCCAACTGCTGGCGTTCAATTTTTTTAACATAAAATATAAAAGCCCACTATATTAAAAACATCGACTTGTTTAGTAGCAGGACTAGCACATATATCATACATATATCAATACTCTTTAATTCACACTGCACAAGCACATTTGGTTCTACCAGAGTGCACTGCCTGACGCCGCGATGCTCTGGAATTGCTCCGCTCGCTCTATCGAGCATCAATCCGGAACACACCGAGCTGCGCTGACTCACCGTCGCGTCATTGGCGCCGTATGGGCACGTGGCAACTGGTAACGATTACAGCAGGAGCCTGTTAGTGTTTGCGCTAAGCCGTTTGTTGTTTGTTCGTGGATCTATTTATGGTGTCGAGTGTGATCGTATGATTTACAACTTCACGGAAAGAAATGATTCGAGATAAAAAAATAGATTCAACATTTCCCAATATTGATATTGCTCTGAGACTCTACCTTACTCTACCGGCATCCAATGCCAGCGCAAAGCATTTTTTCAGCGTTTTGAAAAGAATTAAAAACTACTCTAGAAATTAGGTTGATAAAGGCGAAACTTTCATCGTCTGAATGATTTTATTTAACCCCATAAAAAAAAACAATCACTCATGAAAGGCCATACCAAATAATTGACCTACGGGCCAGAGATAGGTTAAAGCGTCACTGATTGGTGACGCCACTACTTTTAAAAAGATCTAACCGGCCATCTATTTCACGACTAGCTCTCACTCTACGGTAATAGAGGATTAGCTAAAAGTAAATAAGCCTCTAATAATTGAAGACATTTTATAGGTATTTGGCAGCAGGAGGTTCAATGCACAGCATTGCTCTTGAATACCGAATGGGAGTTTCAACAGTATCGGTAATTATTAGAAAAACATGTAGAGCAATTTGGACTGCATTACAGCCATTATACTTACCAAGTCCAAATTTAGAAACCTGGAGTGAAGCTGAAAAAGAGTTTTCTGAAAATTGGAATTTACCGAACTGTGTGGGCGCTATGGATGGTAAACATATTATTATGAAAGCCCCAAATAAATCAGGATCAACCTATTTTAACTATAAAAAAACATATGGCACAGTTCTTTTTGAGGTATGTGATGCCTCATATAAATTTTCTTATGTTGATGTGGGGTCATATGGATCACAGAGTGACGGGGGGATATTGCAACAGTCTGTATGTAGGCAGATTGAAAGTATGACTTTAAACTTACCCGATGATAAGCCATTACCACATTCACAGACACCAATATCTTGCTTTCTTGTTGGAGATGAAGCATTCCCTTTAAAAAGGGAAATAATGCGACCTTACAGTGGGCATTACTTACCAGAAGATAAAAGAATATTTAACTATAGGTTAAGTCGAGCAAGACGTTGTATTGAAATGCCTTCGGTATATTGGCAGCTCGCTGGAGGATCTTCCATCAAACTATATATGCTTTTTCTGAGACAGTAGACGAAATAGTTAAGGCGACTGTTTGTCTCCACAATTATATAATGGAACACAAATCCGAAAGGTACTGCAACAACCATTTTGTTGATCGTGAGGGTGAGGGAGGAGATATTATTCCTGGCAGATGGAGAGATGAAATAACTGAGAATCCATCCTTACAAAGAATTAGGAGAAGGTTGGGGGCCAGAAATGCAAGGGCTAATGCCACTGAAATGAGAGACGACATAAAAAATTATGTGAATACAGTGGGAGCAGTATCCTGGCAAGAGAATCATGTACGAAGCACATAATTTTATAAAATTGTAGGCTATCAATATTTTTTGGAGATAATAAACTACTTATATGCAATTTTGTTTCTTATACCCTTCACTAACCTTAGTACAAGGGTGTCAATTTGAAAAAAATAAAATAAAAATGCATCAACTTTATTTTTTAAGGGAACAGTTAGTATTTTTAATCAAAATATATTCAGCTCTCTAAGCTGCACCCATTCATTCAACTTTTAAAATTTGAATTTTTGAATGTAGGACAAGACATTCAACCAAAGAGGTATGGTATAACTCAACCTCCTTTCCTATTTGAGATTGTAGGGATCTCTTTCACCACACCTAGAAGTTTGATGTAACTTAATGTGGAAAAATAAAAAGAGATTTAAATTAATATCCAACTTTTAATTTCAAAAAATACAGAAGAAAAATTATGGTACTTAATAAGTAAATTTATGAATTTCTAAGACGTTGTTTTTTTTTGTAGGAGTTTATTATGACAACCATCTCAGCCATGGCATCATCACACAGCTCTTCATCGAGCATATTTAGGCTTGCAGCCAAATAGTTGGCAAAATCAGACAACCTGGAAGTATTGGAAAATGGTGTAGCCACTGGCATATCTGATACTTTGTCTGCGCTTGTATCAACTTATTAATCAGTGGTTCAATTTGTCGAGAAGATTTTGGAAGATTCTCTGAGGGTACAAAAATTAGATGACTTTGCATGTAGTGGTGTTCGGGGCAATTTTGTAGATGTCACAATTTCTGATGCATGTCTTTTGGAAGCACTTTTTTCCAGATTGTTTATTTGAGGCAATTTGGTGGATTCAATATTTCCGGAAGCACATTCTTTATCAGTTTTTTCTTCCAGTATATAAATTATGTCATTGATTTCTTCATCCTTTTCAGTATCCATAATTATTGACATCTTGCTATTTTCATCGTTCAGTTCCATTAATGTTTCAAACTGAAATTCACTAAGGTCTTCATTCAGGGTATCGGTGGGCAATGCTAAGTTTATTAGCGTTTTGAAATTTATAAAAAGAAATGAGTTATCTTTATAATTGGCCAAAGAGATAAGACTCACTTTCTTTTTAAGATAACGCTGGACAAAAACCTTAATGATTCATATAGTGGCCACACTATTTCTTCAGACAAGCCAGCTCCACTGCTTGTTTCTTTTTCGATTTTTTCATTCTCCTTTCGAAATCTCTCACGTAAGTATTTATATCTGCCAATCACAACTTCGACTGAAAGTGAAAATCACTTTTTATGTGATGCTATATGTGTTTTTTGAGGTGAGGTTCGTTTCACAACAAAACTTACCGGTGGTTTTTAGTTCCTTAGCAATAGCTTTGAAGCTATTTTCTTTTTTGACTTTATTCTTAAAATCGTTGCAGCCCCTCTTCCAAATTGCTGGGTAATTCGGCAACAACTCGGCCAATTTATGGTCTAAGCGTTCCATAATTGATTTTTTTTAAATTCATATAAATAATTCCAAAAAATACATTTGTAGGACAGGACAAACTTCCAATTTTTGCAAATGCAAATAAACATTAAACATAACCTCACTGCAACAGAACAGAATGACAGAAGTCGACTGTCCGAAAATCGAATATGATTGGCTAGGTAAGAACTCTCCCACACGCGTGCCCCAAAAAGCTTGGAGCTTGGTATCTTTTACCTTACCACTGTTGAGACACGAGCTAGTACCAACATACCGCTTTTCCGGTTAAAGCACTAATTGAAGCATGCTTTCAGACATTGCGAATAATTGAACTTGAAAAAGACTGTAAATCACACCGTAGTATATTGAATATTTAATTGTATAGGTAAAAGAAAAAGTTAAGCTGACGTAGCTTCAAAGCTGGAGCCCGTGAACGTAGAAAAGTGAAAATTCTCAAGCTTCAAAGACATAAAGCATAACCTCTCTAGCTTTTGAATCTCTAAGCAACTATTCAACAAAATTTTAATTGTTTTTTCTGGTCCGACTTCTACTGCCGTTGTTCCGCGATGAGTTCGCGCTGATTCCGGAACGCATTATCACGTTCAGTTCCTTCAAGACATGACAGCTCAATCAAAAATAATTATTTGGAAAGAAATGAAAATCAATTCCAAATTACTTTGAAATTCGTTCCAACAACCACTACTTCGCTATTTACCCCCTTAAAGCAAGTTTAATTCTATGTGAACAGAGCGTATGATATGCACGCGTCAAGTATTCTTAATTCATAGTTCACTTCTACCTTACCACTACGTTGCCCTATGTGAATGATACTTAATTCTCGGCGACTTCATCGATGAGTTAGCTATTGTTATAATTATTATTTAGTCATATATATTTGTTCCTATTATTACTACATTATATCTTTCTCTCTCTTAATGTATAGGGTGTGAGTTCACTGGAAGAGAATTAATTTCCAAAATCAACGTAACACTATCTTTGTCTAGTGAATAGAAAATGACAATGATCGACATAGTCGCCTAAACCAATAACAAAACACAATGGTTAAGAGAGAGAGTGAGTAGAGAGACTCGTTTTGACGGATACCGTCTTGTGACGTCATTCATTTATGAGTGCGTTTTGGCGCGAAGAGAGTTATTTTGAATTTCTATATTTTTTTACAGAAAAACTATTAGTTGAAAATTTAAAATTTATGTGGCAAGTGACTTTTTACAATGTGAAAAATTGATTAGGAGAATAAAAAAAAATATCTGCAAATTCCTCATTGTTGAATGCCATCACTCGAATCGCAGATACCACTTGCGGAGCGCTGAACTAGAGTATCGAAGGTACATGTGTTTTGAATCCTCTGAACTTCTTCTCCATTTATATTATTCGCTTCTGCGATAAAATTATAAGGGTTGCTAATTTGCGGATTGAAGGACATTGTTGGAAATCAACGAATGTCAGAGATATAGGGGTGTTATATTAGGTACCTAGCTTTTTCTATTAGGGTACACAATGTCTGCAAATGAACGGTTGTGCCGGAGCCACTTCGGAACTGTTCTATTGGCTCGTAAAAGTCTAGTTTTCCCGACGATTTCCGACATGATTGGTAAGGATCTTGGTAAAGAACTGGTGAAATAGGTGTGACAGCAACTTGATGAGGAGGTAATTCTTGATGTTGGTACCACCTCCAGATTGAACCAGGGATCTGGTATTTTGCTGTTTTTATCAGTCTATTTTCTCTAAGTTTAAGCATCTCTATACTGTGACGTGATCTTGTTTGGGGCATTATCCGTTCTTTATTTTTTGTGGAGCTAATATTATTTCACCTAAGAAATGTTTTCGATATATGTTCTGAGCCTACGTTGCATGTCACGGTATTATGTGGAACGGTTCTCGTACTAGACGAGTATAATTCACAGCAGAACTTCTCGATTAATCGAGAAATCTGTCGAGGGGTTTGATACAGTCTCAGCGTGTTGTTTTTTTTTTAGGCTATTGAGTCGTCTTATACAATTTCTCTTCCTCCCAATCGTGAATTATTTTGCTTTTTTATGTTCTCAGATCTTTGCGGATAGCCTTTTTTACGCGCTTGTTGAGTGAATTGTGCTTATGCTATCATCCGTATTGTTATCTCGCCGCGTTTTAGTCTTGTTTCTTTCCTAATTTGGAGCGTCACTTTCCAATTGCCGCATGTATAGATGATGTAATTATCTCTTTGGCTGGTTGATGACCATAGCTTCAGAGTTTTTTCTGGCGGTAAATATCTTAATACTGATCACCGAGGCATTGGCAATGAGAAAGCACACAGTGTCGCAAAATAGAGGGCCAGAAAAATCATACATCATATATGTCCAGAGTCTCAATGCGGCCCAATGAAGAGCCACCTAACAAGCAAACTAAATAAATGAGAGAAGGACCAATTATTGTCCACATACTCCATCCATTACCACATCAGAAAAGAGAGCAGACCAGTTCCTACACATGAATAAAAATAAAATCATATTGGTCGTAATACATAGCTAACCGGATACTACCTAGTGAAATATAACCTAAAAGCAACAGGAAAAATTCGAAAAATGCAGATTTCGCAAATACTGTAGCTAAAACCACAGAACATTTACTCTGCGACTAACTGGCCCACAAACCCGATTTTATCCATGGAAAGCGACTATATGATGCCGAAAAGTCCCTCGAAAAATCCGTCGCCATCAAGAAATTGTCTGGTTTACTGACGGCGCCAAAACAGGAACTGGAACCGGCGCTGGAATGTATGGACGAATTCCTAGATGCGACATCACTCAACCTCAGGGAGAATACACTACTGTATTCCAAGAAAAAAATTATGTCATCGACTCCTATTTGAGAGAAAAATTAAGGAAACCACAGGTAAAAACATTCTTATCTGCTCAGACAGTCAAGCGTCGATTAGAGCACTCAACAGTTCCGGAATAAAATCCAAACATGTCTGGGAATGCTTGGAAAACCTCAAAAACTTAAGTATGGCTTACAGGGTTACCTATTAAATGGGTGCCAGGGCCTGCAGGAATTGAAGGCAATGAAAAAGCAGATGCTCTGGTACGAGAAGGATGAGCAACCAGTTATACTGATCCTGAACCGGGAATTGGTATCACAAAATCTTGGGTAAGAACAGAAACAAACCAATAGGTGGACAACACCAGACTCACTGGCAAACTCTTCCAAAGTTCAGAAACACTAAGCCAATGGTACAACAACCATCACCTGAACTTACTGGAGAGATCCTACAACTAAACAGAAACCAAATCAGGCTAATGATAGGACTCATAACCGGACATTGTATATAGCCTGAGAAAACACCTTCACATAATGGATATCCTCCAAGAAGAATCCATATGCAGAAAATTTTTCATCAATTTTAATTAAAACGTCTGCATGCCACTAAAATCCAACACACTATTTTTTAATAAGCTTTCTTCGTTTCAATTTGATGTCACAATGAAGACGTGTGCTCGGACCATTCTGTCGTCACTTCCAGTGTCGACTTCATTTACCACCAAAACAAGATTTTAGCTTTTGGACATCCACATTGTACATGTCAAATGTCAATACCAAACTTATCAATTAATATATTATCACACTGATACTCCATTGAGGTCAGTAGTGTAGTGACCAGTTGAATGTATCACAGTGAAACAGATCAGCGTTTTTTTTTCTTAAATTTATTTTAGGAACATGGAAGCTTATATTATTGATAAAGAAACATGACTTATATTTTGTTGTTTATTATGTAATATATGAACAGTACTGAAGCAATTTTTCGCTTTACTTCTAGAGACCGAATAGTATAAGTAGAAATAGTCAGCATACTCCTGTAAGAAACGAGGTATGGGTAAATGTTATTAGTTTTATATTATAGTAGAGGTATCTCAAGAACCGCTCCTGGACCTTCTCGCGTTTCGAAATCTATGTTGGCTTCTGCCTGAAGATACCAAACTACAAAGGCATACTCAAGGTGAAGCCCAACCAGAGTATTGTATAATATAACTATTGTTTCGATATTTTTAGTGTTTTGTGTTTCGTATAATAAAGCCTATAATAAAGCCCAATGCTCGATATGCTCAATATGCCTCATTGACAACGCAATAATAATAATCATTGAATTTCATGTTCATTTAGAAGTGAACTCTGAGAGCTTTACACTTGTCTTTTCTCTGCAATGATGTATCATTTATTGTATTTTGTAATGTAATTGATGTTACGAGTATATGTAATTGCTTGACACACTTGTCAATGTTGAGATGCATCTTGTGATCTAGAAACCAGCGAGTGACAGCGTCCAGGTCTTCCTACAATCTCGTGCAGTCTCCTGCTTTGGTAATTAGTTCGAAAACCTTAAAATCCTCAGCATATTACTAAGTTTTCTAAGAACTTTATGCAGTTGGGCAAATCATTAATGAATAAGACAAAGAGCAAGGGACCCAGATTGCTTCTCTGTGACACCAATTTTTCACAATTTGATGATGAGTTCAGTGCGATCAATAAGACCCTTCAATTAATTTGGTCAATAAAGCAACTCGAGGGCATTGATCGGAATCATTCAATAAAAAAGACTTTTTATTCACTGCCGATTGATTTACGCGCGACATATGCAGTCGCAGCAAAACAGCAATTATACCTAGTAAGCTGTGAATAATTCGTACCAGTCGAAAGCCGAAAATAACCCGTAATAAAAAAACCGATGGACCGGAAGAATTCGCCACATGTTTCGGCGACTTTTTGATAATCGGCGAACGACGGATGGATTACGAGTATGAATTGTTTAGAGGAATACTGACTACTGAGAGAAACTTAGGCAGTGTTTTTTTGTGAACCTCGTATAATTTCAAAACATTGTGTAGGTACCTACGTGGAGCTAAACCATCAAAGTCAAACATTTTCGGAATACTTATTTTTTTCACTTCAAAATCTTGTGTGTGAAACAATTCAAGTATACAGTAAATTTGGTTTTATGATCTAAAGTAGCTACTACTCTA